GGGGGGGGGGGGGGGGGGGCGGTTGTGGTGTGGTGGTTTCGTCCCCTGCTGGGCAGAGACACCTATTGAACTGGTTCGACCATTTCAACCAAGCCAAGCCCGACTTCAGATAGACTTAAAATAAAAAAAACAATAAGAATTAGAGTTGCATACAATTTTAATTTAGTTTTATATTCTGGCGATAACAAAATTATAGAGCAAATATGCACAAGGTACATGCAATCTCTCGAAAGACCAACTTGCTGAAAAATAAATCTATAAAAGACAATAATAAATCCACAAAACAAAATAGCAATTGAAGAGATATCAAAAAGAATTTATAATATAAAATGAAAATTTTAGATTAATTAGTAGTACCCTAAATATATTAGTGAAGTTTAGAACTTAAAAAAAAAATTGTTCACGCAATCCTAAATGTTAAACATACATACAACCATTGATCATTACACTAATTTGGATTGATACTATTTAACTGACTGTTTAAAATTTAAAAAATTTAAAAATGAAGAATAATAGATGTTTGTTGGAGGCTTTAGATGAATTTTTTAATTTAATAAAATGATGATTGTGCAAACAAGAAAATACATATATGTGGTAACAGCCTAAATTACTAATATTTTATCACACGGAAGATGAACATCTCTGCATGGCTACAAACAGGTCTCATGCTAGTTGATTTGAAACTAGCTTGCTACATTCTGCTCCATGAAAGCCTAATTTTAATAATATTTTCTCTCACAGGAAGATGAACATCTCTTCATTGCTACAAACATGTGTAATGCTAGTTGATTCAAAACCAGCTTGCAAAAATCTGCTCCATTAAACCGCAATGGGATATTGACAAAGTAGAAATCACCGCCTGCATGACCTCTAAGGCTGATTTTCACATGAGAAATTAGTTCAATTGAGTTGCATAACCCTTTTTGTGGAACAATCTGAAGAGTATTCCACGCCTATTCTATTAAGATTCGCCCAACCAAATGTTTAATGTACCACCACAAGTGGAAAATTTCCCTAACGCACAGGTTGGATGGCTAAAAGGGGCTTCAGAGATGGTTTACATGGGAAACATGCAGCTAGTTTGAAAATATTGACTGCTACAATACAAGAAAGCTTAGTTTAAAAAGCTTACGAGTAAAACTAACCTAAGAGATCAAGCTCAGTCCAAAAGAAGAACAGCTATGCTTAAATGCGGAAAGACCTTCTTTGCAGAACTTATTAAAGAGATCGTTTATACCATGCCATGTAAGCTATTCATAATCTCACAATCAGAATAAGGTTGCGATAACAGCTGCAACTGCAGCTGCTGATTATGATGCTTCTATTCCAAATATTAGAAGCCATCCATGGAAAATTAATAATGTCATACGGACAGTTTCTTTCTGTTACCACAATTCCACAACCCTAACAACTATTCACAACCAGCGAAAGCTATTGCTAAGAAGAATCCATTATAAGCAAATAATATACAGTAATTAATTAGTTTACATCTCAGAACAAATGACTTTTCCCCCGGTAAAACTCATAGAAGAAGAGTTTATACTTGCAAAGCACAGTCTTAACATGATTATAACAAGAATACTTGGCGTAACCGCAAAATGTACTGTTTATGCAGTGAAATTAGGCACAAAATATTTCTCCGTCTGGGCTGAAGTAAAAACTGAACAAGTAATTTTCACAATAAATTGCAATCACAATCGGTCTAACTAGGATAATGTCAGAAGGGGTCACAATCACACCTTATATGCAATATTAATGAACTCCATCATTGCAGAAATTCCAGTATTGAATCTAGTTGCCTTGATTTCTTCGGATACCTGCAGTAATATGAGTAAGTAAACCTAGTGTACAGGTTTATGAAGTAGGTTTACCTCAACTAACGGTAAACCTTAACATAGTAGAATGTGTGGAAAGCATTGAATGAAATTAGATGGTTAATGTGACACAGATAAGAGAATAGTTGACCAAGTACTAAAAGAAAAGACGTCAAAGAGAGGAGATATAATCAGAATTCACCAGAAAATATTACAGAAGAAGAATAACACATATATCCTTTAATAATCAATTTGGGTTCCAAAGCAAAATTAGAACCCTTTATTATAAAGGCAAGGGCTCATACTGCTTGAATAAATTGCTTGGAAAAAAAGAAGAAGAAAATAACGCATCCTTTGTGCATATGAGTAAAAATTCAAAATATAGTTAAAACATGTTTATACTCAGCTCCAAAAACCTACATAAAATGCATTAACTATTAAAGAAAGGAATAATGTCCTAATTACCTATATATGGAATCTCTAAAACACTTAAATGATTCAAACATTTTAAAACAAAATGAGCACATGCCAATAAACTAATATGTAATAGAATTCATATGGCCATATTTGTTGTTCATCAATAATAAAAAGTGATATGGTGCATCAGTTCATCTGTAAAATCATTTAGGGTTGACAGCAATAAATAAGGGCAATTTCTCATGAGTGATTTTAAAAACACAAATATTTGTTTTTTAGATTTTTTTTATTCATCGGCCATATACAGAAGCTGTAGAAAATCCCTAGACTGCACACACTTCCAACCATTTCCACCGGATAAACTGCCCTAATTGGCTCCCTCCTGCCCATCTCCACCTAATTGCCCTTGCCAGCACATCTGTTGACCACTAAAAATTTAAAATAAATAAATAAATAAAACCCTACCTACTCCCGCCAAACAAAACTCTCGTAACTCTCGTAATCGTTAAGAGTATTTTATCTCCTTCCTTTTCTATGCATGACAGAGACGTTTCAACGTGGAGCGGAATATGACTGAAAGCCAAAGAAGTTATATCCTCCCATTTCAGCACACACACCTCCATTCTCGTTCCTTTGCGTCACACAACCCTGGCGCTCATCATCTTGGATACAAGCACAACTAGGGGAGACTGGGTAGGCAACGAAGTCATGTTTTCAAAAAAAAAAAAGATTTTGAAATTCCCCTCTCTGCTCTGCAATGGTGAAACAAAGAGAAAGCAGATCTTACTTCTACTTTAGTCTAACCCAAAATACCTCGCAGTGCAGTGCTACTTCTCTAACCGCATGTCTTCACGGTCCAGCCAGCGGGAAAAGCAACAAAGGGGATCGCAGCAGACAAAGATCTTCAAAATTTCCTGTTTCGAACCCAACTCCAATAAGAATTCTCCTTGTTCGCATACTGAAATCCGAGCTCAGCTTCTTCCCTGTTTCGTACGCCGAAACAGATATTGCATCCAGCAAAGATCTTTCACTATGCTCGTGCGACATAGAAAGCCGCGAAAGCACTAACCTGCATCTATTTCCTTGTTCGCCTACCCCACTACCGATACAATCGTGACTACGGCTAGCCACGAAAGCGAAGATGGGAATGCAACGTAAAAGGACCTCCAAAACCCGCATCTTTCTCTACTTCCACTCTACATCCTGCACGCAAACGCTACAATGATTCCTGCATGTTTGCGTGACTGCCCAACTCGAGCCCTTTCTTGTGACCGAAATGTTGTGGAAAGATGGAAGGACGAAGAAAAAAATAGAAATAGAACTAGAAATGCATAAGAGTAACACACAATAGAACACATACAAATTTACGTGGTTCGACAAATTGTCTACATCCACTGAGTTGTAGAGTATTTTACTGCTAGAAATATATCGTCACTTATAAGAGGGATCTTTCACTTTCTTGCTCTCTCTTTTTCTGTCTATACACCGAAGAAGATAAACTTACAAGAGATATAAACTCAATTTCTCTTTTATCACAAGCTACCAAGAAAAAGTCAAAGGAGAACAATCTTATTCTTATTCTTTCTTCTTCCTTCTGTCGCAAGGAACTACTACTTGCACTTCTCTTTCGCTATTCCGATGAAACCCGTAGGAAGAACACAAAAAGGTCGTGCTTAGAAACTGAAGGAGTCATCCGATGCCTTTTATCGCGAACAATAAAGGCAGGAGCGGTCGCGACATTTCGCGAACAGGGGAGCAAGAGCGGGAGCAATAAGATCAGGGTCCAAAACTCAACAAATCTTCCACTTGGAGACCGGTATACAGACAGCAACATCTCCTTGCTCAAACTGATATCTTTCACTGGCGACGTCGCCCTTTTCTTCAAACATGAATCATCCACCTCTGCAATTCAAAGCCTCAGTCTTCACATCAGAAGAGCAACTGAAGTTGTGCACAACTTTAGTTTCTCAAGAGTAACACCCTTAGTCGACATATCAGCAGGGTCCACATAGCCTTGCACCTCCTAGCTATTTCCTAGATTACTCTTGTCTCTACTTACAACTCTCACTGCATGGGCAATAGCATTCTTGTGTTGAAAGTCTTTTTCAACAAGTTTAGTCTTGTACCTCTTACTACCATCATGCTCAATCTTCACCCAGTACACCCACTTGTTGTATAATGCATTCTTCCATGGTAGAAGTTCTGTCAGCTTCCACTTGCTCGAATTTTCATCTCGCAAGATTTCTTCATAGTTTTGTGGTTCTTCACCATCTGTCTGCAGAACAATAGGAATGGGTACCCCAAACCCACTCTCCTCTTCACTTCCATCGCTGTTTTGCACTGTGACCTCTAGTCGATCAATTCCTACTACATTCAAAGCTTCTCCATCTGTTAGATATACTTTCCCAAAATCACCGGCAACATAATTTCGCATCGATTCCCGATGAAATGTTGTATGGAAAGAGCTCCTAAATCCAATATTCAGTTATCAAAAGAACTATGAACTGTCAGCAATAGTGCATCATGTACTTTTTCAGATATCACATTTGTGTTATCATTCTCCATCTTCATGAGATTCCTGCAGTTCCTCTTTATGTGGCCAGTCTTGCCACAATTCCAGCGGGTTTACTGCTGATCAAACATTGATTTTGATCTCTCTCTATTTGAGTTTTTGTCATGTGAACTCCCTTTGAAATCAATATTCAGTGCCGAACTCAAACCTGAGATCTCACTAGAATCTTCCTGCGCACCTTTTCAGCCAAAATAAAATCACGAATATCATCATATTTCAGTTTATATTTACTGCAGAACTGCTAATTGTCATACTCATGGTTTCTCAACTATTTGACAACGATGCCAACAATATTAGCCCACGTATCTCATCATCAAAATCAATTTCAACAGATGATAATTGATTTTTGATAGTATTGAAATCATTCAGGTGTTGAGCAACGAAAACAACTTCCTTCATCTTCAAATTGAATAACTTCTTCATCAAGTACACCTTGTTGTCGTCAATGGCTTTTCATCCATACCTGATAAGACTGACATAAGATCTACAGTCGACTTTTCCTAGACGACATTGTGTGCAACGAACCTCAACAGGGTCAATCGATAAACCCCCAGAACTTGTCGATCCAATAAATTCTATTCAACCTCATCCATACTTTCAAGTTTTTTCCCCAATAACGGAAAGTGAAGTTTCTTCCCATAGAGGTAGTCCTCTATCTGCATCCTCCAATAATCAAAATTTATGTCATCGAATTTCACGATCCCTTAAACCTTCATTTCATCTGCAGTTATCGTTTTTCCTCAGATCCGAAACCACAGACTCCAATACCAGTTGTGGTATATAAAATATAACGATCAACAACGGAGCAAAAAATAGAATGAGAAAATTCACATCAGAAAACAATAACACAGCGGAAAACAAAGATTTACGTGGTTCGGCAAATTGACTACGTCCACGGAGTTGCAGAGGATTTTACTACTTAAGGAATATACACAAGTCTATTGTCTCGACTTACAAGAGGGACTCACTTCCTTGCTCTTTCTTCTTCTCTTTATACAACGAGTACACCGAAGAAGAAAAACATACAAGAGAAATAAACTTAATTTCTCTTCTGCACAAACCACCAAGAAGAAGCCAAGAAAAAATAATCTTCTTCTTTTTTCTTCTTCATTCTACCGCAAGGAACTACTACTTGCACTTCTCCTCTATGGCTCCAAAACTCATACGTAACTCTCATGAAACAGTCGATTAATGACAACTGAGAAAGCACATACTGGATCGTTTGGTATGAAGATCTTCGAAACACCCTATTTCTCTGCTTCGTTCGTCGAAACAAAAACCAAGCTCGGCTTTCTCCCTTTGCACATCACCCTATCGCGATTAAAGCCTTGTGGGAACAATGGATTGCAGAATGCAAAGACCTCATTCTTTTAGAAATTCTCGTCTTTTATTCTTCAACGGAAGAGAAGCCACGAAGGAATCATAGCCTACAAAGATCATAAGCTTCGTGACTTGGCCGGCACGACGTGGCAGTCCAACGGTCCAAATGTGCGGTTGGGACGACCAACTGCCGGGGCCACATCACCTGCTAGCGAACATAGTGAAGTAAAATTCTTAAAATGAAAATTTATTATAATATATGATGATAATATTCAAAAAAAAAACATTCAAGGTATTTAAATGATTTTATGAATCAATCAAGTCTTCAGACAATATTTGATGTGAATATAAATACCCTTATGATTTGTGCAAGACTTCAAAGTCTATAAATTTTTTTAGACTATTCAAACATATGAAATTTTAAAAGTGCATGGGCTCCAGCTAAAATACCAAATGTTTAACAAATAGCTTAAAAATGTTCCGCGGATTAAAACCCAATTTACATTCAAATGGTTAATATATTGAAAAAATAATTGTGCCTCCTTATCAATATGACAAGATAGTAAGTCGCACTCTACTAATATGATCCTCCTCCTTATCAGGATTAGAGTTGACGAGTATAGTAAATTTAATAATAATGTGTAAATCATAAATATAAGAATTTGCAAGTCCAAATCACTAAGTGCCTGTTTGA